CTTAAATTAAAATTTCTTTTTGTCACTAGAAAATATGCTATGAGTTATCATATAACGTAAACGAATTAAATATTTATTTGTCTTAATCATTGCTTATGACTAAATGTTTTCTTCCTAGAACATTTCCTTCCTGACTTTGATAATAAAATTACTGTTGAATATTCGTATGCACATACTATCCATGAGCATGAGTAAACTTATATTATGTAAATACCTATCTCTACATATATATATATGCAAAGTTAAATACATACGAACATGTTATATACCGTGTCTATTGGGCATATTGCGTGCATCGATGTATCTACGTTATTAATAGATCAACGAACTGCTTTGAACTATGTACGAACGTATTGACGTCAGATTATATCCCGTACATATAATTTATTATGTAACTAAATTCTGTTATTTTTTTTTTTCATCTTATTATTATTATTTCATTTTTTTTCTTTTTATTTTAATCATTTACTTATTTATTTATTATTTTTTTTTTTTTGAAACAACATCGAGTCTTCCAAATCCACGAGATGAATAATTTATAGAGTCATTTGTTAATCCCAGAATTCTTCTTGGTCTTTACTCCGTCGTACAATAGAAAGAGACGTCAAGAAAATGATAGAACGTATATATGTATATAGATATACATATGTATGATAGAAAAATCGATAACGTAAAATATATTACATCTTCATATCCGTTAACGCTTTATATATTTTATAACATTTTATAAATATTATCTTTAATATATTTATATAATATTAACAATCATAATAGAAAAAAAAATTAAATTATTTATATATATATATATATATATATATATATATGTTGTTAAACTATTTACAGAACCATAAAGAGAAATAAATAATACATATATGTACATACATGTATATATATATACATATATATATATATATATATATATATATAAATATTTGAAAATCTTGCATTTATCATACTACCTCAACATTTCTTCATTCTTCGTGCGTAAAATATAAACGTAACAGAAATAGCAGCTTTTATAATTAGACGTTACCACCGAAAACACTGTTATAATTAGACACAGAATTTGATAATTTAATTAAATAATGCATAAGGCGTAACGCGTACGAGACAACATGTTTAATTAAAAATAATATCAACGTTGACCGATGTAATTTTTGAAAAATTTTCGGATCCGTCGGAATTATATTAATCATAAAATAATAATCAATAACCAACCACTGTAATGATAATATCGGATCGGTGATTCCTACAAATGTACGCGACAACTAACCAACCAAATTAAATAAATAAATAAATAAATAAATATCTTTGCCAATACAAATATATTTTATTTTATTAAATGATTAATTGCAACTTTAATGTAATGCAACTAAAATCTAATCTCTCTTCCGTGCTTTCCTCTTTCTCTCTCTCTCTCTCCCTCTTTCTCTCTCCTGTAAATATGAAATGATTCGAAAAAAAAAAAAAATAATCGATAATAAATAATTTTATAAAATTAAAACGCGTATCCTAATATCATAGAACTTAATAGTATTTAGATATGTATAATACAAACATCGTAGAAATAACCAAGAGGTCTTTGTCAATAATATCAAAGTAATCATGAATAAATTAAATTGTATCACATGTGGGACGTTTATAATAAACGACAATACTGACGCTGAAATTAGATATAATGTATATACATAATTTATGCATGATATACGTCGAACCTTTGCCGATTGTGGTGTATATATATATATATATATATATCAAGGTATGCTTTTATTTTTTAATTTAATTAACAAACAAACATAATTAAATTGACGTAAAATGTATACACACACACACACATATATATATATATGTGTGTGTATAATAGAAGACATTTATTAATTCATAGACCTATTTGTAATGGAACAATTATCGTTGATTAAACGTATCGATAGATCATTTTCTAATAAATAAAGTAATAAACTAATCTAATATCTTTTTCTAAAGGCTTTAACCTTATGGAAGATTACTTCGAACAAGGATGTTATTAATGAAAGGCAGACGTACACCTATCTACGGCTGATCGGTCAATCCCGTTAGACGTCAGCTACGATCATCGTCGGTTACACTCATTGTCTACAACAATTTGAGGCGTTATCGGTGCTCGAACGAACATCGAACGGTGTTACATTGAAGTGTTTACAACATGTATCAACCTCGATATAATCATTAAACGTAAAGACCAAGGTATGATCTAACGATACGCATTACGATTTATCAATGTAAATTGATGATAACACAAGAATACATTTGAATATTTATAATTAAAAAATAATTACGAATTCTTTTCAATTATTTCATTGAGAGAGGAGGAAATTGTTTTTTTTTTCTTTGTTTGTTTTCTTTTTCTTTTTTTTTTTTTTTTTTTTTTTTCTTTTTTTTTTTCTTTAATTTAAATTATCTCACTCAAATAAATTTTCGTTAAACAATTAAACATTTTTTTCTCAATTTTTCTTCACTGATATAAATTTTATTTCGTAATAATTAAAAATTCATTATAGATTCTGTCCGTTCGTTCATTTGTTTGTTTGTTTGTTTGTTTGTTTGTTTGTTTGTTTTGGGATTAGATTAATAGTTGTTTAAGATCATTATCATTCCTATATATTATCATACATAAATATACATTTTTTTTAATCACTTCCTCCTTCTTTACATATATTCTTTATCTTAATTTATTACGATTAACCTAATTTATGTATTTTCTTTATATATATATATATATATATATATATATATATATATATATATCGTATGTTTATCCTTCTTAGCTGAATAAACGCATTCTAACTCGATTATAAAGAAAATTCCTCGTAGGGGAGGGGAGGGGAGGGGAGGGGAGGGGAGGGGAGGGGAGGAGAGGGGAGGGGAGGGGGAAGTTTTTTGTAAGCAGAAAAAAGGAAAGGAGAGAAAAAAAAAGAAGAAGAAAAAGAAGAAAAGAAAATGTTCAACTTTAACACTTACGATCTAATAATGAAAATAGTCTAACACTTTGCTCTTTAAATTATACATACAACATATATTATACATACATGGGTAATACAACAAGCAGTTGAAACTGTTCGAAATGATTTATAATACGAATATTTTCACTGTCCATATATACATACGTCGTTATCGCTTAAGATCTACAACGGAAGATTTATTAGATTCCAACTTAATGCTAGATATAGATCGAAAGCAGATGCGTTAGGATTAGTTCTACGCCATTATGTTACTCCAATCGGTTAATAAATCTAATCGGATTAATAAATGCATCGGACTTATTAATGGAAATAAAATGTAATAAATGGAAAATGCAAAACGATGGATGTAGGAAGAGAGAGAGAGAGAAAGAGAGAGTGAGAGAGAGAGAGAGAGAGAGAGAGAGAGAGAGAGAGAGAGAGAGAGAGAGAGAGAGAGAGAGAGAGAGAGAGAGAGAGCTTGGATGAATGGGTGGTATGGATAAAGGAGGAGGTATTTATCGTACAATGTAATATTAAAATTAAAGTCAACTCTTGCTAAATTGACTTTGCTCCTCTCTCTCTCTCTCTCACTCTTTCGTTCTCTCTCTCTCTCTCTCTCTCTCTCTCTCTCTCGCTCTCTCGCTCTTTATCTCTCTCTTTCTCTCGCTCTTTATCTCTCTTACTCCTTTTTCTTTCTAGCGGTTAATTATGAGTTTAATATAAACCCACGTTCTTATTATGCATGAATAAATCCTAGTAAGCTCGTCGATCAACGTTAACGGATACAAAGGATCGAGATTAGAAGTGCTAGAGAGAGAAAAAAAAAAAAAAAGAAAGAAATAAAGAAAGAAAAAATTACTTTGAACGAGACAAATAGTCACGTAGTCGTAATCGTCGTCGTCGTCGTCGTCGTCGTCGTCGTCGTCGTTGTCATTGTCGTGTATATTTTCAAATTTACACTTAAACGTCACGGTTCTTTTTAATATTATCTTTAACTATCTCAGTGCAAAGTAATAAATTATTAATATAAATTATAAATCGCACACGTATCCCCTATCTATCTTACCTACCTAACTACCTACGTGATTATTATTCACTTTTATCAAAATTTCATCAGAAATAACAAATGGTTAACTCGTCTCACCACGACGTCGGTTACCCCTTAAATTCACGAGCTAATGATCTATTTACCGATAAAATTTCTTTCAAATGAAACAGCTATCACAAAAATTGTACTGACGGTGACTCGACAACAATTTTTCGACTTTCTTTTCTTTTTTCTTTTTAATTTTTTTTTTTTTTTTTTTCTTCTCACTCTCCGAGCTTTTGATACAATACAAAGAATCGCACAAGTCAAAAAAAAAAAAAAAGAAAGAAAAATAACGCGCGTTATATAATAATATCGAACGTATCACGCGAAAGAATAAGAAAATTCCAAATTTAATCGAATGAAACGCAATAGTTTCAAAATGGCTTTTAACGCTATAGCATAAAAGAGTTATAAATGCAACGCTTGAGCCAATCCAATGGAGGCGATCACGCAAACTATTCGAATATATATGTATATATATATATATATATATATATATATATATATATATATCCTCGAAACTCGTGTGAACTATTAAACTATTATGTGTCTTCGATGATATTTCATTTGAAAAATAATCTCGTTAATCCATATCCACTTTTTTTTACAACCTCTTCAACCACCCGCCCCCGCCTTCCGCCGACGCTGACGCCGACGCCGACGCCGACGCCGACGCTGACGCCGTAAATGTATATATATTATATATATATATATATATATATATATATATATATATATTAAGATTCCTCGATTAAAACCAATTTGTTATTGTATTGTGATATAATAATGATATCGAGAAAATAGAATAAAAAAAAAAAGAAAAAAAAAAAAATCGTTCATATAACACCATAGAGGTATTTTCCTCTATGAAAATCAATTCAATATACCAATCTTATCTAGGAATTAATAAAATCGATTGAAAAACAATGTAC